AGGGTTGTTCGTGAAGGAAAAGAGCGTCGGAGGAGATGGGCCGAAAAGCTAACTCCTCGACCATCCAAAGCAGATGAAAAATCTCAAGAGGAATCAGCTTCTGAACCTCAGCAAGAATCTAATACAGCTGCAGGATTTCTTCCCGATAGCATTGTCCAAATGCTTGCAGCTCGCGAGAAGTATGTTTGATCTATCTTTCTTTCTCTTCTGTCGAAGTACGAATGCTTGATAGGACAAAATATCTAAGAGGTTCTAATTCATTTGCAGACAAGTTTTCTTAACTGACACGAATGAGGAGAAAGATGATATAAAGCCTACCACTTCAAGGAAGAGAAAATCAAGGAAGTCAGGGTTAGAGCTTTCATCCTTTTTAATTTTATAATGATGCATTCATGTTGCTTTTCATCCTGTAATTATGTGTATTCCTATTGTGATTTGCAGTTTGCAACCTGTTATTTTGAGCGAAATAGGTCCTCCTAAATGCTCACAAAATGCCTTAGAATTCTTGAAGGAAAAGCAAATGGCAGTTCAAAGATCATCTTCTGTTTTGAACAATTCTAAGCAAGCATTGCGTCTCCTTTCTAGTTCAGGGGTACTTCGCCGGAAATGAGGGTTTTTTTTAAAAAAAATTATTTATAAACATTTTGTTTTTTACCAAGTGAGGTTAGTGTTGCAACAGTTATTTTTAACCTGTCATCGTTGGTGCTGCTGTTGGTCTACTGTAATGAACTGTAACCTAAAGATATCCTAATGCTTTGTTTCAATTGTTAGCATTAGAAGTGAAATGAAGTACAGAGAAGAAATAGCAAGGAAAAAATGAAAGAGAATTGAAGTAGAATAAATATGTTATCTAAATGAATTGAAATAAAAAGAAAAAAGTGAAGGATTTTTTCCTGCTTATTTGATTGAGTAAAACGAGTGTAGACATAAAGAAATAGATTATGTAAAATATTTTTATACTAATTAAAAAATTGAGTTCAATTCAAATTAACTAATTCTGATTCAAGTATTTGTTTCTTAGCCTTCTTTTAACTTGTGATGGTATAAAATTATTAATTTTAGAGATTTTCAAATACCAATTTGAGGTAGAAGATTTATTTCATGCGGGTCTTACAATTTTTTCTTGTCTTAAATAACCGTAAAAAGAAATAGTATGTTTTTTCCAGTTCATTTCTTTCCTTATCATTTTTCTTAAAACGAGCAACGGGTAAATTTTGTTGCAGTTGTAATCTCACAGGGTAGAACACCCTTCCCAAACCTTGAATTAGTCTAGGATGAGGGAATCGCACTAAATTTCTCTTCATAGTACCTTTAAATAACATCTTAAACTTAAATTTGAATGCAGTTTATGTCTGAAGTGACAGTGCAAGCAAATGATAATGGCACAACGTGAATATTTGGTTAAGTAGAAGTGTGGGAGGGATGCTGGTAAACATTTAATGTAAACTGGTGGTGGCACGTCATACTACTAATTAGATATGCTTATTAAATTGTAGTGGTAGAATCATATATTTAGCGTGTCAATTTGTCGAATGGTGATACAGTTGGTAGTTCAGTACTTGATATGAATAAGCAAATGAAAAATGACAGTAGGACTAGGAAGAATAAAGTGACAAGTGAGTGATTGGTGATATGGGAATTAGTTGTATTTAAGGAGAAGAGAAGGCGTCTTGTTGTTGGAGCCACATTTGGTCTTGAGTTGAGGTTGTATTGCCTTTGGAGCTGCCCAAAAGACCCTCAAAAGAGCCTTTGATTCTGTTTAGGGACTTGCGGTGTCGAATGCGACGGAGGACTTGTTCTTTGTTGAGGCTCTGAGACGAGGCTTTGGAAGATAACGACGACTTCAACTGGAGTTGCCTCGAGATGGTACAATCCTTCTCCTCCACATGATTTAGGCTACACTTGTTGGCCTCTGATTCAGCTCCTGAAATCGTGAAAGCCATGGTATTGACTATTGCGTGTTTTGTTTGAGTAGAACTGCTAAACCCAGGAGTGTTGAAATGGGAAGAAGTTCTAATATATATATATATATATGGATAAATTACCAATACGCAGTAGTTTCAGTTTCGGAAATCAGGGATCTTTTACTAGTGTCTCAAAGCCTGTTGTTTTTCTCAAACAAGGGATGCAGACGTTAGTATCTTCCAAGGGACAAAAAGTGTGTGTCAAGTGTCAACTAACAAAAGGATATAGATTCAGCGAATTACCATGAAACCACCAACAGATTCTCTTGTACCATGACAAACAATAAGTGTTCTTTATTATTCTTAGCAACCTAATTAATGAATAATAATACAATATTATTATAACGTAATCTAATACATTTTAATAGTGAGATTAAATATTACAATTCTCTGAAGTCAATTTCACCAAATGATTTATGTACTGAAGAAAAAGAGAAATAAAAATTGTAAATTGTAAAATTTAACAACATGCAAAAATATATAATTAAAATTCTTGTTATTTTTATTCGATGAAGTGAAAATATTTTCAATCTATACGTATATCGTATCAATATATTGTATGACTAAGTTGTATATCATACTAACATATGGTATGTAAATTCATTTTTATTTCATTTTTTAAGATTGAGATGTGATGGGGTTTACTCAGATCTTCCTTCCGAATTCGCATGTTTGCACTCAGATTACTGAAATCAGAACCTCCGATCCCCAACAAGGGTAAAACAGAGACAATGAATATAGGTAGTACATTGCACGTGCTATTTTTCTTTTAAAGATATGGTTGCTATCGATATCTTCTAATGGAAACGACTTAGCAACCAAAACAATGGGCTACGTTAGTAGTTTTCATTTTTCAAGTAAAACTGATGGCGTGTTGCTTTATATTTCTTAATCACTTAAATATATTTTTATTTTATTATATTTAATATAAATTTATTTTTTATCTTTCAGATTTAAAATTGTTAATTGTAGTCTTTATAATTTTAAAAAATTATTATTTTAGTTCTTTAGGTCACCAAATATCTAATAATGACTAGTAGATAAATTTTTATACAACAATATTTGATATTTATCCAGTATTAATTGAGTTTAATTTATTAACAAGAACACTAATAGACAAATTTTATATAATATTTGATAATTTTTTTAATAAAATTTAAATATAAAAATTAAAATAAAATTTATATAAAATTACATAAATTAAAAATAACAACTTTAAATTTAAGAGATAAAAATAAAGATACTATAAATCTAAGAAATTAAAGAGATATTCAAACTTATCTTAATTCATGTCATTCCACTTTACTCTTAATTTGCAAGTGAAGGCAATAATTTATGCGTACCATGTGATGGTGCAAGTACAACAATTATATATAACATTATTCTTTTTAATTGTTTCTATCATTAATAAATATAATAAATAAATAATGAAAAAAAATATTATATAATTTATTATACAAATATCATTCCCTATAATTGAATATAAAAAAATTATGATAACTACCGGATATATAGAAGGTACTTTGTGCTTTCTTTTGAACACATGTATTAGTGGAGTTAGTAGGTGATTATTAAGAAATTAAAAAATTAATATATCAAAAAACTTTTAGACTTTTAATTATTATAAGAATTTTTAAAAAGTTAAAATTGTCAAAAATAAAGTGCATACGAAAATAAGGAACGTTTTTACATATAGACATAGACGATCTACACAAATTGCTCATCTATCTAAGTTAAATTTCCTTGCTACGTATATGTGTTTGATTTAATTTAATTCAAAATATGTTTGATTTAATTTAATTCAAATAGGATGAGTTCTCAAAGGAAGAAAACTAAAATCGTAAATTCTTAAGTTAAAGATGTACATTTTTTTTTTTGAAATACATTGATATTGGGTCATAAGTTTATCACTAATACATGGGAGTTTATTACATTGGTTAAAAAACATTCTACATTTATTACAAAGACACCCGCCCTCGTGCTTACTTCCTCTGTGAACGCCTCCATGAATGGCAATGTCACCACAAACTCTGTGAACACTTTTTAAAAAATAGCAATGGTTAAAAATATATATAACCTTATATGATAATATAATTTTTTTTGTTGAAGAGCAATTATATGTTCAAAAATATTATTTTTTTTACATATTTTAATTATATAAACAAACATTCATTACACGTGGTAAAAAAGTATATATTAAAATAATTTTCCAACATTTCGTATATTCTATAGCATCAAAGCCAGTGCCTAACAAAAATTTTCTAATTAAAAATGTTGAATGATTGCACGTAAACAATGTAGGTCTCGTGACAGATTTGCTCGTTTACAGATAAAATGCAACAACTATTTGTTGCAGGAAAAAGAAAAAAGAAAAGGCAACCAATTTTAGTCAATTGACCAAATCAAAGGTGGTTTGACGGGTGAATTCCATTGGTTTATACTGGTTCAATACATCTAAAATGGCACAATTCCTTGGATTAGCAATCTGGATATTATCTAATCATTACCTCATTATCTAATCTTACAACCTTTTTTCCTAATCCAAGGTTTCAATTAGTTTGGCATGAAACCTTACCCATGTAGTCATAAACATAAAAAACGTGGCATAACATAATTAGACACACAACACGACATAGACAAGGCAACCCATCAACCACTGCATGCCAAACAAAGTTCCTTGTCAAACCCCCCCAACGCTCCAACGACGTTCGGTGGTTTGGTTCGACAAGGAATTCAACCACATTACGCCATTAATCCTTCACTTATTCCTCTGTAAAACAAACAAAACCATTCCCCTACGTATTCCACCTTTGCATGCAACCTTTCAACCTTTCGGCTTCTAAATAATCCCCACCTTTTTTATTAATTATATTCCCTCCGCCCCCTATCGTTGTTTCTTTTTTACTTTGCATGAGAGCAAGGAAGGAATAATTAACATCAACAATGACAGGGTCATCGAGAAAAGGACGTGTGTTCCTAGAAGAAAGTAGTGACGATGGTCGAAAGTTCGGAAAGTTAAAGAAGGACGAGTTCGACGGGTATAACTCCGATAACCACCCAAGAAAAAACAGCCCCGTGACGTTGGACGCATCTCATTTGGATCCTCAAATGGCCGCAGATAACGCTCCCTACGACCCTTCTCTCTCTCCCTTATCCAAATCCCCATGGTCCTCTCACATCAACGAAGACGCTTTCGTCTCCAACGAAAACGAAGCTCTCGTGGGGTCCCTAGTCCGCGAAGAGGGTCACATATACTCCCTCGCCGCAACAAAGGATTTGTTGTACACAGGTTCAGATAGTAAAAACATTCGCGTGTGGAAGAATCAGAAGGAGTTCGCAGGGTTTAAGTCCAACAGCGGGTTAGTGAAAGCTATCGTGATTGCCGGCGAGAAAATCCTCACGGGACACCAAGACGGAAGGATAAGGGTATGGAAAGTTTCGGGGAAAAACGAGCAACAACACAAGCGCGTGGCGACTCTTCCAACCCTAAGAAACTACATCAAATGTTCCATGAAACCGAGCAACTACGTGGAGGTGAGACGACACCGTAACGTGTTGTGGATCAAACACTACGACGCCATCTCGTGTCTCAGCATAACGGAGGATCACTCTCTTATATACTCGGCCTCGTGGGACAAAACGTTCAAGGTGTGGAGAACCGCGAACTTCAAGTGCTTGGAGTCGGTGACGGCGCACGACGACGCCGTTAACGCGTTGGTGGTGGGGCCGGAGGGGTTGGTTTTCACGGGATCCGCTGACGGCACCGTTAAGATTTGGCGGCGGGAGGCGCAGGGGAAGACGACGAAGCATTTCTTCTCGCAAACACTGTTGAAGCAAGAATGCGCGGTGACGGCGTTAGCGATTAACGTTGAGGGGAATCTGTTGTACGCGGGTTCCTCCGATGGCTTAGTGAATTTTTGGGTTAGAGGGGCCAAGTTTGAGCACAAGGGGGTTTTGAGAGGGCACAAGTTGGCGGTGTTGTGTTTGGCGACGGCGGGGGGGTTGGTGTTCAGCGGCTCCGCCGACATGTCCATATGCGTGTGGCGGAGGACGCTGAGCGACGAGCACACGTGCGTGAATGTTCTTTCGGGGCACACTGGCCCCGTGAAGTGTCTGGCGGCGGAGAGGGACCCCGACGCCATGTGCAACGAGCGCAAGTGGATTTTGTATAGCGGGAGCTTGGACAAGTCGGTGAAGGTGTGGAAGGTGTCGGAGAACGCGGCGGCGCCGACCAACGTGCAGCTCCCGCGGCTGAGTGCTGATCAGTTTCCCAGGTCTTCGTCCTTGAGGAAAATGGGGTCTAGGAGATACTAGCATTAGCCTTGCATGCATGGGTGCGTGCGTGCATGCTGTCTCTGTTCACAGGGGAATGGGAATACTCATTGTTACGTCATAGATTGATATATTAATTAGTTAGTGTTTGTGCACAGAGGAGGAGGATTAATGTTCGTCTTCACTTTTCAAGATTAATTGTTCACATTTGTTTTGGACATGCGCCATTCTGTGTCAATTATCACTTTCTTTTCTACTATTTTCTTTGTTGGTTCCTTTTTTCTGTGTGGCGATAGGAAGAAAGGTTAATTGGATTACGCTTTTATGGAAAGACAGCGCTGGATAGATAATACTTAATTAGTGTTTCATGGATAGGGTTGGAGAAATGGAAATAGGAGAAAGGAAAGGAAAGGAAAGGTTGATTTATTAAACGTAATGTGTACATTCACAAACCATTGAAGATAACCTCCTTCTCCAAATCTATTTTCAAACATTGGAGCATAACTAATTAATAATTTATATGCGTATTATCCATTCACCCTATATCCCTATAGAAGTCTAAGATCCACCTAGCATCTGAAATGAAATGTATTACATATTCACACAGTAAAATTGATGCATGATGCAACTTTTTAATTATAAAAATTGTCAAACAACTAAATCAATAAATTGGCGGGGAGTTGAAGTATAATATATAAAGAGAATGTAGCCCTTTTAAATTTATATATAACATGTTCATAATATGGGAATACTACAAAAAATGTTATATGTAGTGATATACAAAAAGTGTCCCTATAGGTATAATATATGTAGGTATATGTTTATTTGACATATAGTTATACAAAATTTTAGTGTTGATTTTGAATGAGATTTAACAACATATTTTGTATATCACTATAGTCTATACCTACACTTTTAATAATATACCAATATATATTATAGTTATTGTGTGGATAAAAATAATTTTTAGTAACATATATAGTGTTAGGGTGTGTGTTACTGTATGACAATTTTGTTGTATTGGAAATGAAAATAAATAAATGTTAATAAAATATTTGATATATAAATGTTATACTTTTAATTAAGAATTGTATATCTCAGTTGAGTTACATGCGTAGTCAATTTAGTAAGCATAGTAGGGAAAATATTTGTTTAATTATGTGTTAATTTGTATTATAATAAAGGTTAAATCATATTTTTGGTCTCTTTATTTTTATTATTGTGTATATTTATTCTTATTTTAAAACAAAGACATTTAATCACTTTATTTATAAAAATACAAATTTTGATTCTATTATTTATTGATTATTAAATGCTAACATTGTCTGATAATATGTTATAATATTTAATGATGTGACATTTAAAAATAAAAATTAAAAAATGACATACAAAATTTTTTCATTTATATCTATTTTAATGCATGATTAATATTTATTTTATTAAAAAATTGTATTTGCATGATTATTTTAATTTTTGTATTTTCAAATATCATATTAATAAATGTCATATCACTTAAATATAAATAAATGATAAAATTTGTTAAATAATAGATGTCAATTTGACTAAAAAGATAAAATCCTCAATTTTTATAGTTATAGAGACTTAATATTTCTATTTTAAAATAAAGGGACTAAAAGTATGAATCAATGAAAATTGAGAAATAAAAATACAATTTAGTCTATAATTAATGTGTTATTTTCATTTTTAATACTTTATATTTATATTTAATTTAATGCCACAAAATATTAATTATTATATTTTTTTTTTATCATATTTATATGACTCAATTAAAATTTTATATTATTATTTTATTCAAATGATTAGAGTTTTTTTTACAAGAATAATCAGGGGTTTTTAAAGATGAAGAACTTGAAATTTTAGTGAAACTTAAATAACGTATAAAAAATAAAGTTACTATGAGGATTTGCTGTTATTTATTAATTTCTATTTTTTAAATATAATATTTATTAACGTGATATATAGAATATAATGTTTTTGAGTACACGTAGGTAAATTGTATACATGTATTAAAAAATAATTTTTAGAAAGTAATAAAATATAATTTATTATTTTTAAAAAATTAAAATATATTAAAAAGGCAAAGAAAATACTTGTTATATTAGAAAAGTGATTTATTTTTAAAATAAATAAATGATCAAGACCTTATACCGTATTCATTCATTGTCACTTCCTGCGTAAGGGGCAGTTGGCATTTGGTGACAATTGAAAGAACTAAGAAATATACGCGGACACGATAATGTATCTTTACATTTTGTCATTAATTGAATAATCAAAAGAATCGAGTTTACGTAATTAGCATAACACATATTAGGAATTTGGTATCATGCATATGCAGTATGAAAATCCAATCAATACTATAATTTCAACCGTTACGATTAGAAATTTTAGATAGTGAAACAATATTTATAATATTAAAAGTATTATATTTATTTTTTAGAAGTATAAATATACTTCACAATTATTTTTTTTCATGAATTTCCATGTTTATTTCAATCAGAGTAAAAATATATATGTTTTAAGTTTAATTTTCGTTGAAAAATAGGGTGGTCTTATTGTAGTTGCTCTGGTGATAAACTATAATGTCTATGTACTGGAATATTTAAGGTGAATAGTCTCTTGATGTTGTGCTGCATGTAATATGGTAAGGATATGCTAACGTTCTTCGAAAGCAAAGGATTCCTACAGTAATTAGGGTTTTCATTGTTTTGTACTTTGGTCCTCGTTTGACATGTGTGATAGGCTCAAGTGACCAAACCATGACAAGTTCACACAAGAGGGCATCTAAGCATAAGATAGGCAAAAACAATACCTAAATGGTATAGTTTCTGGTTGTCCTAATGACGATTGATAACAAGTGTTTTCCCTAGAGCACGATCATCCCTCGATCTTGGGGTACATATACCCCGAAAGCCATGAGCTAAAAGGCAAAAGAGTATAGAATCAATTATCTTAAATTTTTTCCAAACCACATAAAAGATTCAAGTTGGACAATTTACACATTTGACTTTTTAAAAATTTTAAATGTTGGAAAGATGTTTCGCATTTCAAATCGGGAGGATTTAGCATTTTTGAAGGCAAAATGCTTGATGAATTTTTGTGGGTTACTTGTCGATTGTGTAATTGATCTCGGAAGCCATAAGCCAAAAGGCGAAATGACTTGCCGACCATGTCTTGGAAGCCATGAACGAAAAGGTATAATGGCTTGAGGCTTAAATATGTTTAAATTACTTTAAATTAGCTCGATTTTCAGATTATTATTTTTTTAATTTTTTTTTTCAATTTACTATTTGACGTTAATTTTTTTTTGTTAAATGATGACGTGGCAAACGGACGGTCACGTCATCACCTAATAGTGTCTGTCACGTCATCCAAGGGACTGTCACGTGTACATGATGATGACATGGCAAACACTGTTGGGTGATGACGTGACAGACCATATACCACGTCATTACTTGACAGAGGGAGACCAACGTTAGGTACTAAATTAAAGAGAGAAAAAATTGTCAGGTATTTAAAACAAAAAATAATAAATTAATAGGTAGTATTCTGAAAACCGACATAATTAGAGGTAGTAATATGAAAAACTGACCTAATGGAAGGTAGTAATCTGAAAACTGACCTAATTGAAGGTAGTAATTTGAAAATTGTCACTGAAGAATAACCTATTTTGAGGCCACCATATTTTAATTGCATAAATTACACTGAGTGAAATGAGCATATGCATACAATCCATCGACTTCGAACTTTGGTTTGTCATAAAAAATGGACCAAAAATTCCAACAAAGATAGTGGACAATGAAGAAGTAGAAAAAAGTGAAGATTAGTAAGATGAAGAAGACATAAAACACCTCTAATTAGAAACAAAAGCAACAAATGCACATAAATTAGCTTCCCATTTACCATGTATGAAAACTATTGCATTTGATTATAAAAAAAGAAATTTATGAAATTATATTAAAACTCAGTATATATATAATATATATGTGTGTAATATTTATATTTACTAATATTAAGTTTTTAAATAAAAATTTAATTTCAAATCTTATAAGTTTTACTTGTAAGATAGGAAAGTTAATGCCACAAATATTCACTTAACTTTTTATATATATATATATATTTTTTTTTTTCTTTTTATTTTGTATCTTTCACTTATATGGAAATACTGAAAATTTATTTGCTAAGTCAAGTCTCCTCCAGACGGAATTCTAGCTACTTTCAGTGACAATTTTCAGATTACTACCTTCAATTAGGTCGACTTTCAGATTACTACCTTCAATTAGGTCGATTTTTCAAATTACTACCTCCAATTAGGTCAGTTTTCAGATTACTACCTAGTAATTTATTATTTTTTGTTTTAAATACCTGACTAATTCTTTTTTCTTTAATTTAGTACCTGACGTTGGTCCCCATCTGTCAAGTGATGACGAGGCAGACGGTCTGCCACGTCATCACCCAGCAGTGTTTGCCATGTCATCACCATGCCCAATGACAGTCCCTTGGATGACGTGGCAATCCGTTTGCCACATCATCATTTAACAGAGGAAACTAACGTCAGGTATTAAATTGAAAAAAAAATTATTAAGTAATTTAAAAAAATAAAAAATAAAAAGTAGTAATATAAAAATCGAACTAATTCAAGATAGTTTAAACATATTTAAGTCATGGCTTGATGGAGTCCATTTGGTCATATGTCGATTCTAACTTATTTATTTTGTCATTTATTTTTTTAAAGGTCCAATCTAATATATATTAAAGTATGATTTGACTCACAAGCATATTTAAAGACTTATTTTATAATAAATATTAAAAAATATGTGAAAACAAATATATCACTTTTTACATAATCGAGTCTAATTTGTTTATACCATATATATGAACATAATTTTAATTCTTTCAATATAAAATTTATGATGATAGCTAATATAGAAAACATATTTTATAAATAAGTAGAAAATAAAAAGGATAAATGTGTATGTTGCAAATTTCATTTTATCAAAATTTAAATTTTATATCATTATTCAAGTATTTTTAACACTATATTTCTTAATTAAAGTTTGAGATCCATCTTTAACTTAGATATAAAATTATAATTGAAATTATTACTTTAATTTTATCGAAGTTGATTTAATAGAAGAAGTTATATTTTCTTGTTAAACTGAAAATCTTGACTTTTTTTTTTATTTTAAATATATTACATTTTATATAAGGACATTATATCATATTATAAAACACTTAAAAATTAAGTATTTACGACTTTATCTTTATCAGAATATTAATTTTTAATTTTAAAATATTATATTATTTCTTTTGAACAACTTAGTATTTGAACTAATTAAAGAACTTTCATCTACTAAATAGTTTTTCTTTTCTTTTTGCTACAAACTAGCATTTCAATTTTTTTAAAGCTACTTTTACTGAACATGACCTAAGTATGGCAATAAAAAAGAGGGGGAGGAGGTGATCTATGTTAACGTTAATTAAATATTAGTATTAACTTTTTATAAGCCATAAGGCGATATAATATTTTTATATTAAGTTATTATTTTCCTATATTTTTATGAATTTTCTTTTTAATTCTATAATTAAAAACTAATAAAGCATATCATTATTATTTTTTTAATTCATAAAATGATATAATATTTTTAAAATAAGTTATTGTTATTTTTATTTCTATAATTTTATAATTTTTTTTATTATAATTAAAAATATTCTATTTTAGTATTCATACATACTTTATTCTTTTTAATAGCTGTAATTTTATAAACTTTATTTTTTAATTTGTATAATAATAATAAAATAATAAATATAATAATGAAAATAAAAGCATTTTAAATTATAGAAATTTTAATATACTTTCTTAAAAATAAGTATATATCTTTAAAATAAAAGGATAAATTAATGTACTCTGAAAACAAATTTTAGTATTATTAGTTTACTAAATATTTCATGTTTAATATCAAATTTTAATAATTCATCTGTCAAATTAAAAATTGTTAATACATAAATTAAAAATATAAATTTTAAATTTTTTAAAAAATATTTAATATTTTATTCATTAATTTAAATTAAAAATAAACATAGAAATATATTATATGTTGATTTGAATTTATATAATGAAATATCATATATTTTTTTAAAAATTACAAAATTAATCTATATATTAAAAATCTTAATTTAGAAATTTGATAATAAATAATTAAATAGAATAAATTTATTGAGATATATTTTAAAAATAAATAAAATAAAAAATATTTTGTACATAAGTATGGATAAAATTTATGATAATATAAACAAAATAGAAGTATGTAGTATTTGTTTTTGAATAATAAAATTGATGGTAATAGGAAAGAAGCGCGTGGCGGGGGAGGGGGAATGAGATTGGGAGATGATGTGAGGCTGAGGCCCTGAGGGAACAGAAGAATGCAGTAATATAATATGGTTTAATTATTAGATGATTGGAGAATGAAAAAAGGTGGATAGGATGCGAAGGTGTGGTACATAAAACGACAAAGCCATGACCCTCTCCCAATCCCAAACGCTAAAAAGAAGAAAGATTCCCCCAATTCCTTTTCCTTCCTTCACTCACTCCCTCACCATCACCACCCACCACCTCTATTCCCTATTCCCTATTCCCTTCTATTATTATATTAATATTAATATTAACAAAAATCCCCTTCACACTTCACACATTCATTCCATTCTCTCATTATTTTCCCAATCATAACTCTTAACCAACCCTTTCCCTTCTCTTTCATGCTTTTCTCCGATTCGGATTAGGGTTCCATCGCACCTCCGCTTCCGACCATGTCGCCGGCGGCTCACGATGCTGCCCAGTACTCATTCGCCGTCGAGTACGACGGCCCGCCGCTATCTTTCGACCTCCCTCGGGCGGTGCCAATCAGCGTCGACAACATTCCGGTCGCCGCCGTCGTTTCCCAGGTTCCTCTCTCCGATGCTCTCGCTCTTCCCGTCGTGCAGCCGCTCCTGCCGCCGCAGCTCCACCACCCCCTCCGGACACTCGGTTCCGAACCTAGGGTTTCCAAATTAGCGTCCGAAACCACGGTCTCGCCAACCTCCGTGATCGCGTTCGACCACAGAGCTTCCCAGAGCAACGTCGGCGAGCTCTCCGGCGAGCTGAGCAGCTCCGGCGCGTTCGAGTTCTCCGCCGGGAACGACGGCTCCGGCGAGTTGTCCGATTTGGGGGATAGTTCGAGAGCGCTCGAGGAATCAATCTCGCGTGATCGAAGCTCCAGTGCCGTCGAGTCTTGGGACAAGTCGGAGAGAAGTTCTGGGGCGTTTAGGGTTTTGGATGATGGTAAAGAGAGTGTGGATTTCAACGAGTTGAATCAGCAAGATTGTGCTTCCACTGAGTCGGTGCTGAGTTTGGAGTATCCCTCGACTCGGGTTTCGTCTCTCAAGGCTGAGGATATCGATGCCAAACGCCCACCTGTTGTTACTTTCGATGTGGACTCTGACGATGATGCGTTGAATGAAGAGTTTGATGTGGAGGACACTGCGAGTAGACCTGTTATTAAAAGGGCACCTCTCACGAAGGGGAAGAAAGGGTCTTGTTATAGGTGCTTCAAGGGGAATAGGTTTACTGAGAAGGAGGTTTGTCTTGTCTGTGATGCGAAATATTGTGGCAATTGTGTGCTCAGAGCTATGGGTTCCATGCCCGAGGGGAGGAAATGTGTGACTTGCATTGGATTCCCTATAGATGAGTGCAAGCGAGGGAGTTTGGGGAAATGCTCTCGGATGCTCAAGCGTTTGCTTAATGAATTGGAGGTTGGGCAGATAATGAAGGCTGAGAGGTTTTGTGATGCGAATCAGCTTCCACCTGAGTGTGTTTGTGTGAACGGCCAGCTACTTTCTTATGAGGAATTGGTTACGTTGCAGAACTGCGCAAACCCTCCAAAGAAGCTGAAGCCAGGAAACTATTGGTATGATAGAGCGTCTGGTCTTTGGGGGAAGGTATTTATTTACATGCATTTGTGATTTGTATGATGTTTGAGTTCTAGAGTGTTGCTGCGGATGCTGATTGGTTTAATGACTTCACAGGAGGGACAGAAGCCTTCAAAAATTATAAGTCCGCATCTGAATGTTGGAGGCCCCATCCAACCGGATGCTAGCAATGGAAACACTCAGGTTTTCATCAATGGTCGGGAAATAACAAAAGTGGAGCTTCGGATGTTGCAGGTTGAAAATTCATATTGAAAGGCCCCCTGTTAATGACCATATATATTGCTTATTGTAAAGCAAAATTGTTGAAAGGTCCTGTTTTGGTTGTGTGCAGTTGGCAGGTGTTCCGTGTGCTGGCAATCCACATTTTTGGGTCAATGAGGATGGTTCCTACCGAGAGGAGGGGCAGAGGAATACAAGAGGTTATATATGGGGAAAGGTAACCTCTTTTATTCTTTTCGGGTGGGAGAGGTATTTTTCTCTTATTTTCTTTCCCGCCAAATGGTATTTACTACATACTTATTTATTTCTGCTTGTTAGGCTGGAACAAAGCTTGTGTGTGCTTTCTTGTCTCTGCCAGTTCCTTCTAAATCTTCAAATTCTTTGGGAGAGCAACCCTCCAGTCTGGCTAGCAGAACAATTCCCGACTACCTTGAACATGGCATTGTTCAGAAGCTTCTCTTAGTTGGTTGCAGCGGATCTGGAACGAGCACTATTTTTAAGCAGGTGATTTTTTACTTGATAATCGAGTCTGTGAATTAAGTCACGGTTAATACTTTCTTTTGGATCAGTTACTTTAAATTGGACAAAATATGGTCTGTGTGCACCTTCTATCAAAATAATTATTTGATTATTTCTTAAATCATTAAAAAACTGAAAGGAGAGAAACTTCCGAGTCTTCTAAACACTAAACATGAGTATTAACCTAGTTAATCACTATATATATTATGGACAATAATAGTTTCAATCCTGCAAAGGTTGTTGTAAATGTTAATTGGATTTACAATTATGTTACTCTCTCTTGTGTCATCTAGTATTTCCTTGTTCAGAAAGGCCAATTTTGGTGGTAAATAACAGCTGACTTTCATAGTTGGACATAGTATGCAATTATTTATGGGTATTTGATAATTGTTTAAATAACTTTTTTTTATGAGCCCCCTTCTCATTGTAAAAACAAAGTCACCAATAGAGATGCTTCTGGTGTGGCAGGCCAAGATTCTTTACAAAAGTGTCCCATTCTCAGAAGATGAACATGAAAATATAAAGTTGACCATTCAGAGCAATGTTTATGCATACCTTGGCATACTTCTTGAGGGACGTGAGCGTTATGAAGATGAAATTTTGGGGAATTTAAGAAAAAGGCAATCATCTGTACTTGATACCGCAGGTAGTTTCTCCCTCCCTTACAATTCTCCCTCGGATATATGTGCTTTATATTGAAGTTTGACTTAGTAGCTCAGCTATCTTCCTTTTAAAGCATCGGCTGTGCACCACTTAGCTGTCACTTGTCCATCCAAACGGGTTGCATCATGCTTATGTGTTTGTTTGAGGTGTTGTTATGGTTCTTGGTTATGTTCTTATCTCCTGTTCATATGTATACTAAAAGATTGATTGTTACAATTGTTTTTCTACAGGAACTAGTTCAAAACTTGATGATAAGACCGTATATTCCATTGGCCCAAGATTGAAAGCATTCTCTGATTGGTTACTGAAAACTATGGTATCAGGAAAACTTGATGCTATCTTTCCAGCTGCTACTCGTGAATACGCACCATTGATTGAGGAATTATGGAATGATGCTGCCATTAAGGCCACATATGAAAGAAGAAGTGAATTAGAAATGCTGCCTAGTGTTGCCAGTTATTTCTTAGAGCGGGTAAGATAAATCTTTAATTGTATTATTATGCTACTGTCGAATCGTGTAAAACCTTTTTTTTTTTATGTTCATTTGTAATTGTAAATTAAAAATTGAAGAAAATGTCTAGTGTTTTCAATTATACAAGGTGAATTCTGTGATTATTCATGCTAATGGGATCCTCCACTAAGCAACATAAATAAATTTTCTTTAGTATCAACGGGGAGAACTAATTCAGATGGACTTGTGAGAAGTAACTTGTTGCTTCAGGCTGGTAAATTTGTTCCAAGAATCTTCATAGATATTTTAATTCATTTAAAATATAATAAACTGGGTAACTAAGTTCTTGATGGAATAACATAACCACTTTTCATTTTCATATATGGATTTTATCTTCAATTAATTAGTTTCTTCTACAAATGTGAGAAAAACATTGGAGGGATAAATTGTATGATGTATACGGTGGTTTGACAAGTTTTAATGACAGTAGGTGTTGGATTGGTGAGTGCAAATTTGGTTGTAAAAGTATGATTTCTTAGGGAGAGGTACAAATTAAATTTCAGTCTAGCAAATTAAGCTGTTTAGGAGGATAAGTTAAATCTGCTATTCACCTACCTGTTTAGCATTGTTAGAATGCTTTATCAATATTATTTTATTGTTGCACCATCTTGCAAACCTTTTTCTTGTTGGTTTCCATTTCTATTTTTCCTGTCCTAGAAAAAGATTGTTGGGTTAGTATATTTGACAATTTATGCTGTTCATGGACACTGTTATTTCTAACTATGACAATTTTCTGTTTTAGGCTGTTAAAATATTAAGGACGGATTATGAACCCTCAGATTTGGATATCCTATATGCCGAGGGAGTTACTTCATCTAATGGGGTGGCTTGTGTGGAGTTTTCATTTCCGCAATCAGCTTCTGAGGAAACCATTGACACTACTGATCGACATGATTTGGTTAGGTCGGTGAAAATATTTTGTGCCTGTTATGCGTCTGAAATGTGTTGGGCTCTGATTAAACCCAATTGCTGTTATAATTGTTTTCTCTTGGAAAATAATAGCACCAGTGAAACTGCCTGGGGGTTTTAACCACAGGCACATCAGAACTAGAAAATACTAAAGGAAACAAAATGCTAAATATGGTAGAGCTGTATTAAGGAGACTATGAAATTGATGAAATATATTTTTCATTGGCATGATGTTTAAGAAACACAGTGGAGGTTTCTTCCATCTCTTGATATGGATATGAAGTGTTCGCATGTTTTGGTGCCTTTATTTTTGATCAATTATTATATTCATTAGAATATTAGACAGAAGTGCCAATATCATATTGTCATGGCTATTGAAGTGCTTTTATAGCCAGGTTTAACGTGTAGAAGTTAAACTCTGTTTCTTTTCTTATGAGAAAGATGTGCTCCAATGTGTATATTTGTTTCAAATTTGGATATTATTGTTCCCTCTAGCATATATCTTGTTATGCCAGTAATATCCTATGATGCTTATTTTCATACATGTGAATTGGGCTCACGTAAGATATTTATGTGTTCCCTACCATGTACCCTTGTTTGGATATGTATCTTATTTATTTATTTATTTATTATTATTATTATTATTATTATTATTATTATATGGGGAAAAGGTCATTGTTATAATTACTGTCGAATGTTTCTGATTATTCATGCTTTTTTCGCTGGTTAACAGGTATCAATTAATTAGAGTGCATGCAAGGGGACTCGGGGAAAATTGCAAGTGGCTAGAGATGTTTGAGGATGTTGAAATGGTCATCTTCTGTGTTTCCTTGAGTGACTATGATCAGTTTTCTGTCGATGGCAATGGTTGTCTCACTAACAAGATGATATTGAGCAGGAAGTTTTTTGAAACCATTGTCACTCATCCAACCTTCGAGCAAATGGACTTCTTGTTGATATTAAACAAATTTGATCTGTTTGAGGAGAAAATTGAACAAGTTCCTTTGACCAAGTGTGAATGGTTCTCTGATTTCCAGCCAATAATCAGTCGCAATCGTCCCAACAGCAATAGCAACAGCATTAATAATAATCCCTCCCTTGGTCAGCTAGCTTCCCATTACATAGCGGTCAAGTTTAAAAGGCTTTATTCATCTCTGACAGGACGAAAACTATTTGTGTCCCCAGTGAAGGGGTTGGAGCCTGGTAGTGTTGATGCAGCACTTAAATACGCCAAGGAAATTTTGAAGTGGAACGAAGAGAGACCAAACTTTAGCTTGAGTGAGTACTCGATGTATAGCACCGAGGCGAGTTCATTCTCTCATTGATTGCCAGTTCAGGCAAGAGTTCCAAGTCAATACTTGTGTTGGGCTTGACATCTTTTCTTGTACATATGCTAACTAGGAGTAAAAGGGATTGTGCCCACTACTAGCTATTCACTTGTAAGATGCACTAGACACTAGACACATTTAGGTTAAGGTTTCCAGCGAATTAGAGTATGCTGGTGAGTCAGTCAGCACATACCACAGAGATCAAGGTGTAATGTTCAAATTCATTTTTTATTTTTAATATGGTTTGTATATCAGTTTTTGTCGCTCCGTCAAGTTATTGAGTTGCAAACTATATTCTGTGCTAGGAAAAAGGAAATACATGATGCACCACGGCTCTATATCATTCAAGCATAAGATATTAACTTGGCTTTGGCGTCATACTGTTTGTGAATGGCATTAGACATAATATTCAAGCATAAGTATTTTTTCTTCTCTAAAAGTTCAGAATTATCAGAGTACTACAAATTGTTCAAGTTATCATAAGAAAGTGCTAGTTAATTAAACATGTTATTGTTATTAAAAGATGGAGAGCCCCGATTTCAGAACCTAGAGGCTTCCTGCCCTTATTTTGAGAAAGCTAACTTAATATAATCTAGTCCTCATAAAGCTTGGCGTCTAGACGTGGGGTTAGGAGAACATCAAGTGGGGTTGCTTTTAAGTTTGTGAGTCCAACGCTCTCTGTCATGTCAACAACTTGATTTGAAGGAGAAGCAACATTGAAAGAGTGCAAAAGTCGAGCCAAAGTTAAGTGCACCATACGCAAAGCAAGTGAGGCCCCGGGGCATGCTCGTCTTCCAGAACTAAAAGGGACGAGCTCATAGTTCTGACCCTTTACATCAACATCTTTGTGGCTTGTCAAGAACCTCTCAGGCTTGAAATCGTGAGGGTCACTCCAAACACGAGCATCCCGGTGGATCTTCCAAGCATTCACCATTAGTTGTGTGCCAGCAGGAATGTGATAGCCGCATGAAAAGGTGCAGTCTTCCATGGCTGCACGAAGGGTGATAATGGGACTTGGTGGATACAGGCGCAGAGTTTCCTTCACCACTGCTTGGAGGTACACTAACTTCTTTATGTCAGATTCTTCTACTTTCCTGTCCTTCCCAATAAGATTGTCCAGTTCGTGTTGGGTTCTTTCAAGTTCCTTTTGATGGTTAAGTAGCAGAGATAGCGCCCATGTTAGCGTGACCATGGTGGGGTCAGTTGCTGCTAGAATCAAATTCTGCCAAGATATACCATTTCGTGGTTGTAATTCAAAGTTAGATGTCAAACCAAAAAGATCATGTGCACCAAAATCAGATTGTAAGACAACGTAAAATTGGGAGAAGTGTACTCCGGTTGCATGTGTTACTAGCTTTTGACATGTTAAAAGAAGGGAAATTTTCTTCTAAACAAGTGGACCCTCGTGGCCTCGCTGAACAAAACTAATAGCTTTTGATATATTCTTTGTTCCTTATGAAAAGACTTGAATAGACGAGCCAAATTATTAAGGGTTTTGTTATATCGTACGAAAACTACTGATGCGAAACAAAGTTGAACAATAAAGAATAAAAAAGGGAAAATGTAACAGAAATCAAAGTTGTAGTGGTATTAAGTGGTTTTCGTCAACAAAAATTTGTACTCCCTCGCATTTTCGAATCATTATTCAAAAGATATTTATACATCAACTTTTTCCAAATTTATGTCTTGTACTCCTGCGGTTCTGTTGGAATAATTCCTTTTGAACTTATTACTTGGTAAGACTGCAATGGTTCGAATATTGAATTATAACTGCTTCGCTAGATACGGCATAATTAATCTTTTTCTTTCACAACCAAAGGGGTGAAAACGTTTTATGAATATCCTTTTTTAGCAAGTCATAAATTCCTCTTGGACCCATCAATCGTATGATCTAACAGATAAGATGCGACCATGAAAAAAAACAAGATAGCTGAACATTTACTTACCAGGCAAGTAGCCTTGATGATGGTGTCTGAATCATAACCAGAAATCTGAGCACCCTGCAAAACATTTAGCATCACGTCCATGAAATCCTCTTGTTCATCCTTGCCGTTCGTACTCAATGCTCTCTTTCTTTTGTGTTCCCCCAGCCACCCTTCAACTAGAGTGTCCAATTCACTTGCAGTTCTCTTCATATCCTTTTCATATCCATTGATATCTAACCCCCCCAGAAACGGAAATGCATCAGACAGCACAAACACCCCAAACAAACGTACACAGTCTCTCATAACCCTCCTATACCTTCTTGTTTCACCTTCTGCAGATTCATCTCCAACCCCACAATATGTCTTTCCTCCCACCATTCTGAGAGCAATATTATGCGTCAAATCTCCAAACCACTGCTTCATATCAACCAAAACCCCTCCCTTTTGACAACCTTCTCTTGACCATAACTTGTAGTGCTCCCTTATTGCAGCATCCAACTCAAGTGTTCTTGTGTTCTTAAGTGGCTCAAGCCTGTTATTAGAAAGAAGCTCTAGGGTAGTTAGTTTCCGAACCTGACGCCAGTAGGAACCATAAGGAGTGAATCCAAACATGGCATAGTTGTAGCCCATTAGCTTTGAGGCTGCAACACAGGGCCTGGTGGAGAATGCTTTGTCATGGACAGTAAAACACTCCTTCGCCATTTCCCAGCTACTCAATACCAGAACTTTGTATGAACCAAGTTTTATGGTGAAAATTGGTCCATGTTTTTCAGCCATCATCCCAAGTGTTTTGTGTGTAAGTTGATGATCCCCGAAGAGGTGCAAATGGCCAATAATTGGCCATGCACCTGCGGCTTGTGGTGCACTACAGATCTTAGTGTTGGTACCAAGTGTTTTCTTAAATTGATGGAACAAGGCACATACTAACAGGGCAAGAATGCCTGAAAAAAGAGTTTTAAGCAGAAAAGCATCCATGACCATGACGCTCATGAGTGCCAAATAAGGTAAGAACTTATAAACAACATGTATGTCGGTTGTCTAGTTGCTTTGCTTAGCATAGCCCTGCATCTTAGTATCTATATAGGGGTGTCACTTCATGTTGGGCGTTCTTTCCAAGTTTTTCACTGTTACACTTAGCAGTGGAGGTGGAGTCAAGTGGTCTAAGAACATCTCCAAATCTAATATGAAAAGAAAACTGTTCCCAACACTCTTCGTACTCTTTATTATTTGGTTGAAAATGATAAGTTTTGATAGGTTCTAAACGAGAGACTTATTAATTAAAACGTTTACAAAATTTGTAATTTTTAGTAAATTTTAGCCAATAATAATAATGAAAATGATAAAGAAAGTTTCACTAACATCCTTGGTGATAAATATATTTTAAAACTGTTTAACTTAATTTCGGTTCATCTTATAATATCGTATTAAATTTAAGAAATCTAATAAAAAATTGATGTAATTTTTTTAAAATTTAAAATATGTCACTCAATTCTTTTTTTTTTTTTAAGGTTTTTTTAATAAAAATTTCAATGTCAATTGCTCAATTAAAAACTGAATAAAAAGTGGTTTTTAAATTAAAAAAAACCATTAAAAACTTCCTATAGAGATACTCTATAGTAAAAACACATGTATGTAAAATGAGAAATTGAATATCTATTTATTATTGATAACTCACTTCAAATACAATGCAAGTGAATTGTGTTAAGTCTGTACCACAATTTAGGTTGAAAAATTATTAACTTAGATCTCACGACTAAGTGAACTTGTATTATAGAGCTGTAACTACTAAGTGAAATTGTAGTGGATGATTTTTGCTTTGAAAAGAAAAATAAATTATTATAGCAATTAATTACAATATTTTGAGTTTATAGTATTGTTATTTTGATTTATTATAATTAGGAGTAGTAAAAGTAGGCTATTCGTTCCATTCTCTTATTAACTCGTCTTTTTTTACGATGTAAGTTGATCCAACAAATTTTAAAACACTTTGTCATTCTTATGATCTAAAGATAGATAATTATATTAATTTAAGTTAATATATATATA